TCCGCCTCTTGAGTAGCTGGGACCACAGGCGCCTGCCACAACGCCTGGCTATTTTTTGGTTGCAGCCATCATTGTTGTTTGGCGGGCCCAGGCTGAATTCGAACCCACCACCTTAGGTGTATGTGGCTGGCGCCTTAGCCACTTGAGCCACAGGCGCTGAGCCGGACTGGTCTGTTTTAATTAGTTAATCTGTTGTGAGGTTTTCGTCTCCCCTTCTTTGTCATTTCCAGCCTGGGAAGGACTTTTGATATACTATAAAAGCTGGTGCTAAGCCAGAGAAAGAGATAGGGCCTATATCCATGTTTATCTATATGGTTTTCTGTAAGTAGGAGTTTCATTTCTATTCTCCTATTTCATAATGAAAGAATTATGGGGAAGTACAGGTAAAGGTCCCTTTGCTTAGCTCTGAAAATATCAGTGCTTTGACCTGCACATATGGCAAGTAGAAAGTTTCACCTTGGGGGTTAGGGTCTCCACCTCTCTCCTGCCAACAGTGTACCTCTCTTCCCATTCTGAATCTTGATCGCATACATAGGGAGTTTATAAAAATTTTAGGTGAAGTTAAAAGGAAAAATGTGCCAAGCTCTTTGAAAAGCAGAGGTGGATGACTTGAAGTCCTAAAAAGGATTGGATTGTAATTGCTTATTATAATCTGATGATACACATACCAAGACATATTTTTTCTATGTTTTTATTTGAAAATAACTTCAAATTTACAAAATGTTGCAAACATAAACAATAGTGCAAATAACACCCATATACTGTTTACTTAGGTTACTATTATTACCATTTTATCCCACTAGCTTTATCATTCTCTTACATACATCATGGCCCTTTATTCCAAAGTACTTCCATGTGTATTTCCTAAGAATAGGGACATTGTCTTATATAATCACAGTATACTTACCAGCTGTCTAAATTTACATTAATACAGCAGTTTTATGTAATCAGTCATCTATATTCCAGTTTTTTCAGTTGACATTACATCCCTGTAGCATTTTTTTCTTCCAGTAAAAGATCCAGTCGAGGTTAGTGTATTGCATTTACTTATGTTTTTGGCCTCTTAATCTGGGACGTTGCCATAGCCTTTCCTTTTTTTTTATGGCATTGCCATTTTTGAAGGATAAATCTCACATAGTTTTCCTCTTTGTAAAACAGAATGGTCCTCATTTTGTGTTTGTCTGTTGTTTTCTTATGATTAGATTGATTTTATACATTCTTGGTTAGATTGCCTAGAATGTATAATGATACCTGTCCTCCTCAAGGTATCACATCTGGAGGCACATAATGTCTGTCTGTCCCTTGTTGATGATGTTAGTTTTGATCACCTGATTAAGATGGTGCCTGGTTTCTCCACTATACAATCAATTTATTTTTTTCCCTCTCACAATTAGTAAGAATCGATGGGCAAGCTATATGAACAGAACCTTCTCCCAAGAAGACAGATGAATAGTTAAAAAAAAACCTGAAAAAATGTTCATCATCTTTAATCATCAGAGAAATGCAAATCAAAGCCATTTTGAGCTATTACCTAACACCAGTTAGAACAGCCCATGGTATAAGGTCCCAAAACTGTAGATACTGATGGGGGGGTTCAGAGGAAGGGATATACTTATATACTCTTGGTGGGATTGCAAACTAGTACAGCTTTTTGGAAACAAGTATGGAGAATCCATAATGAAATACTCTTAAGAGCCTAAAAATAGCCTGTTCTTCATCAAAATATCTCCTAGATTTAACATCCATTTATGATTTATGCCTTAATCTTTATGATGGTTTTTCCAACTCTAACATTTGCTTCCTATTTACTAGTCTTCACTGGGCATTCTTTTATAAGCATAAACCTGACCTCCCCTATTATTGGTATAGACTCATAAATTCTTATTTTAAGTGGTTTGTTGTTCATTATTATACTTTATTTTAGTGCTCAAATTGTCCCAGATTTGGCCAGTTAGGGGCCCCTTCGATCTAACTACTGTGTCCTTGTAACATGCCCTCATAATGGTTTTGAGCATTTTCTTTCTATCATAAAAAGATGTTCCAGATTCATTTTATGCCTACTCTGTCCCAGCCCTGGAGTCAAGTATTTCTCCAAAGAGTTTTGGTTTCTTTTGGCGGGGAATGTTATTAGAAACCAAGATCTCAGTGGTAAGTGTGCTACTGGGATGCCTGTTTTTTTCTCCCCTTTCAGCAGAGACAACTAGGAAATAAATGTCTATAGTTAATATACACAAACATATACACACATATATTTATATCTATATCTATCTATAATACATACATATATACATATATGTATATATATACATATACCTATACATCCAGCTATATATATATATATATATCCCTACATGTACCTTACGTCCACATGCCTATTTAAGAAATCATGAATTCTTACAGTTTCAATTCCAATACACAAGATTCATTCTTGCAGTTCCCAGTTTTTATTTGCATGTTCCTCTTCCTACAGTGAGAGCCCTGGTACTCAAGAACATCAACACATTTACTCAATACTGTAGTACATCTGAAAGTATTTAAAAGTTCTTTTATCAATACCACTATAATAAAACTACTAAAGTAAAAAGAGTTTTAGATTTTTTAAGGAATATCCACCCTCCACAAACCCACCCTAATTGAGGATTTATACTTTGTGGCTGAATGTGTGTAGTCAAATACTGTATTTATAAGTTATTTGGATTGGTTGACTTCTGTATTTTTTTTTCTTTAGAGTAGTTGGGGTATTTATTTGAAATATAATTTGGTTAGTTAATTTGTTTCATTTTAAAGGCATAACTTTTAAGTTTATTTTTACTGGCATTATTCACAGTCCCACAATATTTCCTACTGTTTAATAGTGTTAGTCAGGATTAGAGTTTGTGGTGGAACTCCCCCAGAGCCCCATGTGAAGTACATACTACTCAATGAAATAGGGTAGATGTATCGCAGGTAATATTATGTTAGAAGTCTACCCTGAAAAGCTAGTTGATCTTGGTATACCCAAACAACAAAGACAGTAATATTGCCTTTGTTCCCATCTGAACATTTTATGAGGTGAAAGTGAAATGTGATGTTAACAAAGTATCTTTTCAGTTGTTTGAAAGCCACTGTGTCTGGCATGGAGACCAGAACTACATCCTATATCCCTTCAAAGCAGTTAGAGCTGGCTCGGTGCCTGTGGCTCAAGCGGCTAAGACGCCAGCCATGTACATCCAAGGTGGCCGGTTCGAATCCCCAGCCTGGGCCCGCCAAACAACAATGATGACTGCAACCAAAAAATGGCCAGGCGTTGTGGCGGGCGCCTGTAGTCCCAGCTACTTGGGAGGCTGAGGCAGGAGACTCGCTTGAGCCCAGGAGTTGGAG